TTTTTTTGGAGGTGGTAGGGATCGATCTCATATAACCCCTCACCAAATTTCAGTGGTCTAACATAAATACTTCCAGAGATAAGGACAATGAAAAATTCCATTTGTATGGGAGGTGCCACGCCCCCCTTTATATATCAAAATATTTTTTACCCTGTGACCATCCCTGGAAGATATCCAGTGCGTGTGTAAAATTTGGTTACGATCGGCTTATTCGTTTAGGAGCCAAGTGTGTCTATAGGTACATACATAATTTGAATTTTATATATATAGATTTCCTTAGTGTTTTCCTGGCCGACCTGTGCTGGTATTGTAATTAAGAGCTAATACACGTAAGTTACAACATATTATTTTGACTTCATTGATGAACCATTCCATTTGCAGCATTCTCTGGTGAACTGCAGCTGCGGCCGAATTTGATTGTGTGCATCATCCTGCAGATATTTTGAAGTAAGTTGGAACCAGCTCTTTGTTATTTCAGAACCTAATGAACCATTTATTTGCAGATTTTGTGGACGCTTCTGCTGTGCTGCGTTCCTGCTCCGCCCGTGTATTGCTCCGCCCGTGTTTTATAGTGTTGCGTCCCAGTTGCGCCTTTGCATTAGTGTGTGCGTTGTGCTTTAGACACGTTGAAGTAAGGTGAAACCAGGTTTTTGTTTGTTAAAAACCTAAAAAGCCATTAATTTGCAGATTGTTTGTATGCTTCTGCTGTGCTGCGTTACTGCTTCACCCGTGTATTAAATTGCAGCGTTCGTGTTAATATAAGCATCGTCGTTTAAGTACAAAACCGCGTAACTGACATTTGTTGCTAAAAATTGGATTTGCTCACACAAGTTCTTGGCTCAATCCTTATCCATTCTTCCTGATACATACTAGCCAAAAATGCGATTGCTTTTTAAAAAAAGAAAAAAAAATCAAAGGTAATTTTTAGCCAATTCAAACTTGCATATAATAAGACTAAAATTGAAGGGGCTATAAAACTGAGTGCTCAAATAGAAATAGAAATAAATTAACATGAGAGGGAAATAATATCACTTTGAAATAGGGTTGCTATTGATATGACCGATACTGTATGTATATAATAAATTTTGTACAATTAAAAATCAAAGTGGATTTACTAAAATGAACACAACGTATTAATTATAAATTCTGAAATATATTGTTAATTTCAAAAACAAATAAATAATTTGGATGTACGTGAACTTGGGTAATGTATGTATAATTGTTTATATGATTCCTCAAAGTATCCCTTATATAACACTGTGGAACACAACAAAACCTTAGTGCGAATATATCAGGCTTGATAGCTGTTGGCATACCAATAATGCCTCATACTCAGATTTACTAGATCGATTCGTGTTCTCCGAGAAAAAAATTTTCACGATCCAAAAATCTGAAAAATCTTTTTTCTCCAAATTTTGAACATTTATCGTTTTTGGCCTATATTTTATGGCAAATTCCATACAAAGCAAATATAGGCCAAAAAACGAAGAATTTTCAAAATTTTTAGAAAAGAATTTGGCCGCTATACTCAGATTTTTGAATCGTGACATTTTTTTTTTCTCGAGAACACGAATTGGTATGGCCAACAGCTATGAAACCTGATATATGCGCACAAGAAGCCCATATGAAATAGGGGGACAAAAGATCACACGTAAATTAATTCCTCTATTTGGCCTGTACAATATAAGGGAAACATTTCAAATTCACAAGGGATAATTTTCTTAGTGATGCGGCTTATATAAGGAGTTATATATGCCATACTGTTCTAGCTGGGTATTCATCAGCTCAAAAATTTTAAGCATATTATCATATTCCTGTGAATAAAAACACGCCTTATTATATTATTTTAATTATCTACAACTTTATGAGACTACCAAGCCATATGTATACCTATTCAGATAATCGGAACGCTGTTGAGAAGGCATAAAATTGAGTACTTTTTCAACTAAAGGGCTTTTTTTCTTCCCGTTTTTCTTGTACTTCCAAAATACAATATTGACCTAAGGTAGTTCGATTTCGAGCTGTCGCAACGTACAACACCTTTCATTATTGCATCATGATGAAAATCCATGGTGGAATTATACAAGGTGTTGTACGTAGTGACAGCTCATGTCGACAGCTCCCTTACAAAAGGTTGTAATATGGAAGCACGAGAGAAACGGGAAGAAAAAAAGCCCGCTTTGCGAAGTAGTACGAAATTTGGTACTATTTTTCATATAAAATTTTGCATATAAATAGTTACAAACGGTATATTATGATAAGCTAAATTCGCGAAAGTAGTATATATAACGTAGTACTTATGCAATAAATGGTAATTTAGTTTATTAAACACAATGTCCTATAATTATAGTCAAACTTCCAAAACCAAAAAATTAGTGGTGACCCCGAGTCGTTACAACATGACGGAATCGACAAAAGGGCGAATCGACGGATGGGGAGAATATTTCATCGAACAAAATGCCAACTAAAGATGTGGAGCTTGCATCGCAATGCAAGCTGCGACCGTTCTGAACTGAGATGACAGACAAATGGTTTCTACAAATTGAGGCCACCTTTCAGTCGTACAAGACCACATCTTATGTCGGTAAATACAATCTGGTTTTCTCAGCAATTAGCAGCGATGCTTTAAAGGAAGCTGCGGATTTTTTAAAAACCTTACCAACTCAAGACCGATATATTAACCTCAAAAGTCAACTACTGTCACGTTTTACTGATTCAGCCGACCCACAGAGGGTATTTGGCTGATTTAGGCATATTTTTATCGCTACAAACATCAAATATAGTTTTAGTTATCGAATAAAACATTAACTATAACTACCCTGTTACTAATAGAAAATTCAATCGTAGTGAAATCTTATTTATTGTCAATATTATTGTGGCTTATTAACATTTGTTTCCATATTGTTATTGAGCTTTGTAGCACTATTATGTTTTTAGGGAAAAGGGAAAAAGCAACAAAGTCTTAGCGGTAGAAGTTACCAAAAAAACAGTTATATCGTTGGAAAAGCAGGGCCAGAGGCAGTGAACCACAGACGGGATTGCAGCAGCAAAAATCACTGGGGAATAGATGCATAGTTAAATACGTAGTTCTTGTTTAAATCTTCCATCTAAACTTACCAAGAAAACAGTTATATCGTTGAAAAAGCAAGGCCAGTGGCAGTGAACCACAGACGGAATTGCAGCGGAAGGAAGCACCGACCAAAATAACTACAAATCCTTGGGGAGAACTCTAAACCGATGTTTTTTTGCCGAATTAATGTTGAAATTTCTAATTTAATTTTCAGTTGCCAACGATAAGAATAGAGTAAATGTCAAAGAATTGTTCAGTGATTGCAAATCGGTTTTGGAATAGGGAATGAGGTAGTTTAGTACTTTTTTAAAGGCGATAAAATGTAGTTTTTTCAAGAGGGAAACACTGATATAGCTAAGGGAGCCAAGATGGCGGATTAGAGCGAGAACGCTGTCAATATCCAACACCTTGTATTATTCCACCATGATAAAAATCGACATAATTCAAAAAAGTAGACAACTGTGCTTTCATTCGTTCACATGTACAATGTAGAGCTCTAGCAGGCGTACGAAATGAAACACATGCAACCATTTATTTTCTCCGTAAGAAAGAAGAAGTAAGCGTAACAAAAATCATGTGAATTCATGACAAAACAATCAACAGTAGAAGCAGGAGACAAAAAAAAATGAATGCCAAAGCAATCGATAAATGATGTTAAACTCGACGAATATAGGCCGAGATTTTCAGTAAAGTAAGTTTGTACCGTTTTCAAATTGCAGAAATTACCCAAAAAGCGTTTATTTTGCGTACATTAGTTTGAATCCGTCACCACCGCTTTCCCATATTCCTTCCGTACTTCAGAAAATTAATAAATGCGGTGGTACCGAAATATAATTGCATGCTCGGGTGCGTATGAATATCACAGCTTTGAATGCGTACTAACACAAAGGTACAAACTATAAACATTAAAAACTACCAGTGAGTAATATCGCCGCATCAAAACTCAAAACATGAATTGATATAAAATTAAATGCGTGTAGAGAGAAATAAAAAATGAAACAGTGGTAAGCAGAAGCCAATTTTTAAAATAACGTACATATGTATGTCATAAACTCTTCGTAACATAAAGCATGCAGAGTGCAGTGCTGAGTGCTTATTTGCATACATTCATATGTAAGAGGTAAATAATCGAAAATTTAACCACTTGCTCTGGTTCATCGATCATCGGCGGTCATGAATTGCATATATTTTTTATATTAAATATATTCGTATGTACAAACATTATTTTGATAGATGACATTTTTAGTAGTAGTGGTATTCGGGGGAGATCGAAACCAGCAACTGATTTATACATTGACATATTGGGGCCAAATAAGACTGTTTGGTGTTTATAAATAAGACAAAATGTGATGCGTGATTATAAAAGTGTATAACAGCCGAAAGAAAGAGAGAATAATAAAAAATACAAAATTGACTAGCTTAGCACTTCGACTGGTTAATTTCAATGTACATCATCCATGTAATGAAATCTAGTATATATGTATATACTTATGTATGTCAGAAAAGCAAATAAGCAAATGGAATTGACATTTTAAAGTATCCATCATGTTACAAGAAAGAAGGTAGTTTCATTACTACTATTTTTTGATTATAAAGCAGATTTTTTGACATTTATCCAGATGTAAACATTAAGCATAGCTTTGCCACATTGAAATTTTTTAGAAGGGAGATTTTTATGAAATATTTGGGATTTAGTAGAAGAGTAAAATGTACATATAAAAAATGCCAAGTTGATGTGATCGATAGTCAAGTTTGAAAGTTTTTATTAAGCATTTAAAGATCCTTTAAGAATATCAATCCAACGAGATGAATTAATAATAAAAACAATCCAGTTTTGACAACTTTATTCATTAAACAGCTTTAGATGGAAATAAATAATTAATTTTTTCTTTGGTCATTTTATTTTAAACGAAATAAACAAATTTAAATGAGATGAAACAAAACATTTATCTAGGTTGTAATTTTCTTGACATTTCTGCAGACATTTAAATTTTTGAACCCTATTTTTCTGTTCGAGTATCTTATTCTAAAAAAAAGGTTCTCCCAAAAAAATTACATTTTAGGATTTTTTCATCTAATATACTGGTATACTGACGGCTCTAAGATCAGCCATGGTGTCAGAGTAGGAATTTACGAGCTCACCCAGATAGCAGAGTCATGAGCAATGAAGTAGCATATATTCCCCCCAAAAGGGGAACTGCAACACATAGCACCGGGGCCCTCTATTGCTCTGTGATGGAGTTACATTAAGTGCAATCTGGATATATAGAAAGTAAATACGCTAAATCCTTTATCAACATGAAGAACAAAGCCGATCCGTCTTCCTAGATGAAACGAAACAAATTAATGACTTACTTGGTAGTCAATTTGACTCTAAGCACAAGTTTGCGAAGCACATCGACATTATTGTGTCCAAACCATTTTGCAATGGTTGTCATTATAATAAATATGTGCATTTAGTAATAAATAATTTTTTCGGTGTGCCACATATTTACCGGTTTTTTATTTCACGGAAGTCGTTGGTTGCTTTTGTTGCAAATACGAAGATGTATTTAGGAATTTAAAATTTCCTGACTGCTCGCAACAAGGACAAATCTTCTGTTTATTTTCTAATTCTTTTTTTTTTTGACAAAAAAATAATATTTGGACATTAGGTATGGTAGCATGAAATGTCACAATCTGCTTAATTGTCAGGAATGGCGCCCAAAATGTGACAATGAAACTACCTTCTTTTTTGTATCATGGTATCCATTATTTTAAAATTACTATATTTTTGTTTTCCTTCTCAATCTTACCAAGCACCATAAGCTAGCCGGACATCAGGATTGATTCTGGAAAATTCGAAGCATTGAATGCCAACACCACACCAATAAGCAAGGGTTTGAACCAACGTCGACCATGTCTTAAGATAGTTTTAGGCTCAGATGAATCACTTGGCTACATGTATGGCTACAGCCTGCCAGCACATTTTGCCTGAGTAGCACAATAAGAAAGCGAAATGATCGCAGTGAAAGACTTCTAAAACTGCTGTGCTTTTAAACGATCCGCCACAAACAAATGAAAAAGCACTAAAGCAGCGCGATACAGAAGGGCACTCAATCACCACACTGCGATGCAGTCAGAACGAGTCTCAGC